ATGGGAAGACTAAAAAGTGGCAACAGGCCTAATGACTACAAGAAGTCAAAAAAATGCGAAGATCATATTTGAAACCAAACTCCTTAATGTCACCAGCAAGCCAGTTGAGTGCTTCGATCTGGTTCTTGGGGCTCTTTTGCCGGAAGGCTGCATTTAGGACCTGTGCACCAACATTCCCGAAGGTTGTGGTCTCCGCGAGAACAGTAAAGGCTTGCTCTACATCCTTTCAATCCTTCGTAGAAGCTAGCTCTTTTGAAAGTGACAATATTGTTCCCGCTTTTATCTAGCCACCACTTTCAGCAAATATGGTTTTGGTAAGGCCGTTAAGCTACCAATGAGATCAGTGTTTTCTTCGTTGATAAACTATGGATGCAGTACATTCTTTCCAGATCGTATCTCAGTAGATAAAATGTATGGAATACAGATATTAACTTTCTTGATTGACGCAAATGGTACTTGTGGTACGATTTAGTGTTGCAGCAAAGTCTCGTATTTTGTGTCTATCTGTATGTCTGGTCATTCGAATTGCTGAGTTCTGTTGATACGACCGCTTAAGTTGTGAAACCACAGGCTTGCTGTTGTGTGAGCTCCCTATTTCTGAGACAAAAAAGTCTGAAATGCAAATCAAACCCGTTGGAAGATGCTATGGGAAAGTCTTCCCTGCATTAGATGCAATGCGCTTTTTTTTGGACAGTGGCTTAAACAATCCTTATGCTTAGGGTAGGGTTGTAATACGAACTAATCCAAGAGAAATTATTTTGTAGTAATAGGAAAGTCATTCCATTACTTATACGTAAATGCAAAAATCAGATGTGAAGAGCGGAAGGCAATCTTTTGCACCAACAGCTGATCAGACAATGTCATTATTTCTCTTTATGCTTGTAAAATAAAAGCGCAATTTGGTGTAAAGCCTAGTGAGGGTAGGAAAGTTGATGCCCAAATGTACAGGTTTCGATAACCACATCACTGCCTCAACATCTTCACTCACAAAACTCCAATAGCAAGGCAAAATGTACACCGATGAGACCTAAAAGTATAGGCACCCGTTACCGAGGTCTATACAGTGGACTGGCAAGGCAACAGGTTAATGTAATTAGCCAATCAGCTGGTAGCTGCGCCCTTCTGATGTGAATGTATAAATACCCACATGGGCAGGTCCCGTGGAAGGTGCGAATCCGCAAAAAAGCCATTTTCACCGTTAATATGCATTTCGTAAGTAAAAAAGTAGTTCATTATTTTTAAAAAGCACGAGTGAGCATTCGACACCTATGCGGCAGCACTGCGTGAAACGCACTGTTGTTCTGCAATAGTGCCTTCATTTTCCTTTAACTTATCCATACTTTTTTAAGTTTTGGCAAAAATGTCTCATATCGCAGTTTTCGCATGCTTTATAACAAAATCTTCACATTTCAACTTAGACACGTGAGGCTGAAGTAATTCTGCTACTCACTGTGCTGCTACCTGCACATCCTCTCAAAACGGTACATTTCTTTCGTTAGATTTTTTAGTCAAGAATAAACATCGGTAAAAATATTCTTTGCTGAAAGATAGTTCTTAAATATGAGCGTATTTTTGTTCAGAGATAATAAATTATGATGTTGTAGGACGACTTCTGGATTCACCTACTTCGTGGAATTCAGCAACAGGCCATACACGAGGGCGAAAGTAAGAAGTTGATTTGTACTTATTTATTCTGACAAAACCCGCCATTAATGCCATTAGCAAATTCCCTTATTCCATGCGCTTCATAAGCACTGCTGTTTACGAAATGCTCAATCAAGATTAAGAAGTAATCTGAAGAGCTCCAAAAGGTGAATGTTTCTCCTTACTTATATTTCCACCTACGAAAATCATTCGTTTTGAAAACCATTAGAGGTATTTAGCGATGGTTGTCATAAGCACCCGCTCCGCTTCGTTTTTAGCCCGACATCTTCTAGTGTCAAGCTCAATCCCTTTAAACAGCGGTTTAATGAATACCTAAATTGACAATTTGAGCACGTTTACATATCATATCAAAGAAGTTGTGTAAAATGCACTCAAGCTAGTTTAAACTTTATTCTTATTAAAACTCCCCGAGTTTAGACATTCTCTGGATTTCTACGCACCATGGCATTTTATGTGGTCTCAGTCTTATGGATTTGCCACACTTACATTTACGAACGATAGAGAGCACAATTTGGCTCCAAATTTTATTGTTTTGGAAGTAGCATGCTTTTGGTTGCCTACTAAATTTAAACTAGTATGCTGTTTATGGGAGAAATGAATGCATATTTGCCCTGCTTGTACCTAGTCGTGGATAGCCGCGTGATTGGTCACCTTGAAAGGATTCATGTTGGTGTCAAATCTAATTGTTTGCGTACTCTAAGTTGCACAGCTAACTATTGAAAGAGAACAAGCTCGGCACTCGTTATTGCTCAAACTTATTAACCGACGCTAAATTTAGGCTTTGGAGAAGGAACTTACGCCACTTAGAGATCAACAGTTTGACGCCTTGCCTTCAAAGTATACTGAGAAGAACGCAGAAGGGAGTTATGGTCCTGTGACAAGGCCAATTCACACTTCTATTTGCTTGTGATACCCAAGCAAACTTTTTGAGTTGATTGCTAAAGCGAATTAAAGTTACCGTGCCATCACCGTGGTGACAATAAAGGCAAATTTATGGCTTGGATGCCTACAGTCCATGCATAAAATCAGCAATATGCTGTTTTCACGCATTTTCCTTAACGCCTCATCCTGCGTTAAACAAAAATGCAATGCTTTATCTACAATTCGAACAACTTTTCGCCACACACTTAGCGCCATTTAAATGGGATAAGTCTCATTTCAATCGAAGTGGTTGGATAACCGACTTCCATGCTGTAAGTAAGCGGCAGGAGCCACTACAAAATTGGCGACTCGCATTAAAACAATAACTCGATGCCTTTGGAGTAAAATTGGCAGGCAGGTGTCTGCTCCCCATTTCCCAGGCAGTTCACGACAAGCTCATACGTGTTTTATCTTTCCGAATTGCAGAGTAGTATTGTTAAGGAAAGGACATATTTGTCAAGCAACTTATTGAAAAGAGGAACCGACAACGGCGAGTAACGAACGATGGGCTGAATTAAGGGCTGCAGAGCCGCCTACTTTTAGGAAAATAAATAACTACAGTCGATTTAGTGCTATAAATCCAGTCAGTTTGTATGCTTCACGACCCAGTGCCCAAAGTGATAACAAATGCGCCTTGTATGCGTGCTGCTTTACTGTAAAAAAGATTTTAAGCATATTCAGTTTTATTTTAAAATAATAAATTGACGCTGGTTTAGACTGAAGTGACCGTAAAATGTGCGATCTTTTGCTTTAAAGAATTGACGCTATTTTTGCATTTTTTATTAACTTTACGAAAATTGTCACCACAATAACATCGTGGGACTGGTTTAAAATGAAATCGAAGCATAAAAATCGTTGCACTGGTTGCTTCAACAACGAGACAGGGTGTGAACACTTCTTTTTTTAGCCATTAGAGATCACTGTGGACAAAATCGGTATCACCCTGGTGGGTTGGCCAAAAGAATTATCGGCGGGGTGGAGTCGAGGCAATTCGAGTGGCCGTGGTTGGTGTCCATTCAGTTGAAACCAGAACCTTCACCTTCCAACTCGGTAAGGACTTGCAAATCGTGCTGCTTATCGTATCTGCTTTTTTCCCGACGAAACAGTGGGCACCTCCATTTTTTCCTCCCCGAAAATTGTTAACCGATGACAGCACGATCAGGGCAGTCAAAAAATAAAACCCTTATTACAAGGTGTCCAACATTAGCTTATAAAACGCCGATTGCAGGAAGCAAAATGGGAGCACAAAGTGTGTTTACTTTTCTTGTGGAAAATAGTCGCCTTTATGGAGGGCAATAAAATAGTAATAAAAGTAAATTTTGATTAAAAGTGTGTCTGTTCATAACCACGATGACAAAATGCATTATTATGTGAGGTGGTGAGAGGGTGGAAATCTTCATTGGCCCTTTCAAGTCATCCACAATCGAACCCTTTGATGCGATGTGGAGACATTCAGCTGGTCAAGCAGTCTCGGAGCCTCAATTGTATCCGAGTTGAAAAGAGGCTCTCACACCAACACCCTTTCCTCACAACTGCTAGTGTAGCAGAGGTGCCAATGCTAAGCATTTGCATGATCACCGGATTTTATCTCCGTTGTCTCCATCTGCGGTCGTGTTTGCTAACTGTCAAAGGTGACTTACAAAATCTCAAACAACAAACCTGTTTAAAGTGTTTGTGGTCAGGGGACCTTGATTTCTCGGATATGTTGACAATAACACTGTCCCATCTGCGATGAACACACTTATTATTTCTTTTATTTCTACAGTCTGCCTCACTACAATTCAATTCCTTTCTTTTATCTGGACGGTGTTTTTCTGTGACATTTCGATTCCAATCATTCAACTGGAAGGAGATTTAAGCAGTGAACCATAGCTCCATCAACCCACAAATTACTTCGTTGTGCTTTCCATGCAAAGGATTAAGAATAGAACAATCCTTAATTACTGGAACGTTCAGTGTTGCTTGCGCAGAGGTGAGGCAAGTAGAAGGCGGATTGTACCAGTAAAGCACTAATACCAAGAGGAGGATATTAATCGTTGAGGGAATTTCGACGCGATGTTGCACTACTATCTAGCATTACATGAAAAGACGGGTCACTAGCCAGCGTTGCGACATAAACTATTTCACTATTCGAGGACAAAGTCATCCCTGGAGGACTGCATTTGTAGTTGCTCCCATTAATGGCAACACAATTGGAGATGGAAGTTTTACATCAATCTACTTCATGCAAGTTTTTTTTTTCAGCATGGAAAGGCCGCTTCTTTCACATTCTCAGGATTCTTTAATTTGGCGCTTCTAATAAGTCACTTGTATTGCATTTTTAGCCCTTTTACAATCGAGTAGCACTAAGCCAACCAATAACGCCTTTGCTCTGTACACGAACTGTTGTGGAGGGAAATTTATATCCTTTGCAGCTTATGGACACAGTTAGCATCACTAAGAGTGCAGCAGGTCTGCAAAAACGAGGAGAGAATCTGCGAGCTCTCGTACAGCGTCTGACGGAGGATTTAGCGATGCGTGAATTACTTCGACAACTGGCCGAAACACCACGTTTGGAGGAAAACTCCACGACTAATGGATCCTCACGAACTAATCCCGAAAAGCTTGTCGGACACATCTGCGGTGGCTCGCTCATTAGTGCATCCTGGATTCTCACTGCAAAGCATTGCTTCGAGTAGGCCATTTAGTTAGCTAAGTGTATGGCATATTGTTTGAGAAATTGAATAGCTGGATATTTACTCATTGGTGAAATTTTACGAAGGAAACAAAGAAAATCACAACTTCTGCGCTACTCACTAATTTAGTTAGTAGAATATGCGCATGCTATTACATTACTTAGCAGTAGAATGAGTTTTCGTTTTTGAAAGCAGATTGAGATTCTTTGGCACAAACAAGGCCATAGATTTATTGCTGTTAATTGTCAACTCCTCCTTTGAGTTAATAGAAAAATCGCCACGAAATGTCAAAATATTATAGCTTTCATTGATCCATCAACAAAGTTGTCATTGTCTTAAGGCCGCAAAATGAACTCGCGTCTCCCAAAACAACGCTTTGAGTCACATGAGCGTAGTCCGCCCTTCTAGTGATAATAATGTTATGCATTTCTGAATGGAGCAACACAGAAAAAATGCATAAAGACAGGTTATTTGTGGTAAAATAGTAAACTGCAATTTCGTGTATACATATATCTGCAAATATAAGCGAAACAAACATTTTTCATTTTGGGATTATCTCGCAGGCAAGGAGAGACCTGAATATTAACGGAGAAAAAGAAAAAAGGAATTGACTCTATGTATACTTATTACCGCCTTCTTCCTCGTTTATCCCGTGATCAAGCAAATTAATTAGAGTTTGACATATGAGGGTTTATGTGGAAGGGAAAGGCGGCAACATTTGGTTGGAGGGTAGATTTTCGGTGCACAAAAGGGTTCCGGCCAATGATCTTGCACTTCCTTGATAGTTATGCCATCATAGCGCTCAAAATAAGGAGATTTTGAAAATTACCGGGGCACTGCACAGGCTCTTTCCTCTTTGGAGCTTGTCTGCAGCGTCCTCTTTGACCAACTCCCGCTAGAACCATTTCAGCGTAACCAGGGCAAACATGCTGATCGTACCACTCACCGGCTTTCTATGCAATTACCAGGGAACTTGACCTCAGCATCACAAAAACGTTATTGAACTTTCAACTGCATCTGGAGTTTCAGTTACTTCAAAAACCGGAGAACGTACTGTTCATCACGATTGTCTACAACTAACAGATTTATGATGAGGAAATCAGGTCTACCTCTGTCCATTTTAGATAAGATTTGGCTTTTATCTAAGAGTTGCCCAGTCATGTGTCTGTCAGAATCCTTTACAGCTGACGGAGGAGTGAAGTTACCAAATCCCGCCTTTTCAGCAACTTTGTGAGGATGCAGTAAAGAAACTCTGTAACGCAACCAACCGATTTGGCTGGTCCATGGCCAGTGTAACTTCCATTCTTAATAGGTTTTGGCTAAAAGCTAACCGAATGGTAAGAATCCACTTCGTACTGCCATGAGCATGTCGCCTTGCGTCTTTTCGAAGGAGGAAATGGATCAGCAGCCACAATGCAGACGTAAAGGTACTGTGGCAAAAATACAAACCGCCAGCTAAAAAATCAACAAGCAGCATAATTGGACGCATTGTTCGTTATAAACGGTAAGAAGGGACCCTAAGAAGCTACACGAGCAGCCAAGGATTCGCGAAGCTATACTGGACGAATGAGTCACCAAATATTAAGATCCGACAGCCGAAGACAGCCTTTATTCACATATCCTCATCCAAAGTTGAGAATGTGATGTGTGTAACAGCATTTATGGACCCCTTTTTCATGAAAATACGCATCAAACTAGCTTCTCACCTTTTAGTGATGCTTCGAGCGCTCTCAACTCCATCAGTTAAACTTTCCATAACAAAAGATCGATTCTTTGTCCGAGTATTAAAACTGCCAATCTCTATCCTTAGGTTATCTTGTCCAAACAAGTAAAGCTAAATAATGCAGAGTCCGAAACTTCCCGTTCGCTAGGAGATATATTATTTTATGGCTAAATATGTGCAGTCGGAGAAAAGGAAATGCACGAGAGGCTAACACAACGCGAAGTCCAACAAAATTACGCAAAGCTCAAAACAACACCACGCAGCTCACCAGCCATGGAGATAGTGGAATAAACAAATATAACACAATTTAATTGTGCCATTTTAGCATTCCTGCTTTACCATTTCTTTATATCGGCAAACTTAAAAGCATTTCGCTTAGTTTTCTTGGTTGCTTGCCGTGTGGAAAGTACTCTGCGCTTGTTCGACAGCATATTAAGTGTTGCGCAAGTTTGTACACCTAAGTGCCTTTCTTACTGTTGATTCTGACTTTTTGAAGGCATTACCAAGGTTAAGGTTTCGAACTACATACAATTAAGAGTTTCGGAAACCGAGGACTGATATCGCTACCGTTTATCATACAATCTACCTGCATTAGCAGGTCACAATGCGAATGTCCCAAAATCCACCATTAAATTGTACAAAGGTTTGCTACTTCCGTCAGGGCAGCAGATGGGATGGTATTACAATAGAAGTTAGCCCTTCCTCGACCCACAGCCTCCGCCATTCGACCATCCAGGAACTTGGCATGCTGATTGTGTTGATACATTGAGTATTAAAGTGAATAAGTAATGATGCGGAATCGAAGAGAACTGAACTTTAAGAGAGGTCTCATTGCTCTCATCACCGTCTTTCGACCCTAAATTATCAATAAACACTTTATTCCTCTTTCTTATAGATGTTATAAGGGAACTTTCCTTCTCGTGCCAGTGCCTATCACGAGGTCAATTTTCGTCAACCCCTCTATCAGCTTAAGCGCATTACTTCACGAATATCCCGACCTTTTTCTGTTAAATACTGCTAATAATTATAGTATAGTATAGTCAGATTAGCATAAAATATGCTACTCTTGGAGGCTAGAACTCCGCATATGAATCCATTCTGTGTGTCTTAGTTCGCAGCTGGATCCTTCTCTGACGCAAGACCCCTCGCGACTGACGGTACGAGTTGGGGAGTACAATCTTCATAAACCGGAGGAATTCCAGGTGGATCACGAGGTGGAAAAAATATTCATCTACCCTTCTACTGAGAGTAAGCTAGTGATTAGAGGATGTTTGTACATTTTCTACGCCTTGCCGCCAAACACCCTGTTTAAAAGGCAAACAAAACCATTAAAATGACTAAAATAGTAAAAAGACCAATTAATTTTCGAATTTGTGGAGCTTAGGAAGGTGTAACCGTGATAAATTTTGTCAGAAGTTTTGGTATAATAGCATGCAAATGCATGTCACATTCACAAAAGTACGTTTTTTTTGTTATTCACAGATTTAAAACGCACTCACGGCGTATGATGACCTTTTCGACATTTGTACAAGTGAAAGTTAAGTTATGCAAGCCATTCACATAACAAGACCCCATCTCTCCATACCATACTAGCATACTATCATAATATCTTATTACAGACGTGATAGCCTTTCCTTTTAAGAAAAGGTGTTCAGCAGTAGGGATTGATGGAAAACAACCGCAGATTCTTAAGGGTTGTTGAATGATGCGACCTTCTAAACTGGCAGACAAGTGTGTGATGAAAACTCAGTTTCATTTGGAGGCGCCTTTATGTTCCATTCTGCTTGCATTCCATACTGGTGCCTTTTGGCGCCCTTCAGGTACCTTCTCCAAGCTATTGGCCATGTTGGACATTTGAAATCTCTAAGCTACAGACTATAATCATATACTCTTGCCTATTTGTCTACTGTTAGAATACTAGAAACCTGACTTTCGATATTGGACATTGCGCAGGCTTTGTTGGGGCCAGATTGTGAGCAATTGGGAACTTAAGGTAAGTCGTGACTCCGCTACTTTTTTTTATTTTTTAGATAGCTATGACAATCAATATGGCGTTTTAGACGACATCGCACTGTTAAAGCTGAAGCGTCCGGTTACATTTAATAAGAACGTACAGCCAGCTTGTCTGCCGTACCCAGGGGAGCAGTTCAAGGCAGGAACAGTCTGCACGGTTGCTGGTTGGGGAGCCACTGAGGAGGGTTTGTCATTGCTGTCATTTTTAGGAAGCCAAAAGAAGTTGTGTAAACAGTGATGCAAATAGGAAAATCAGGATATAAAGGAACTGATTAACTCACCCGGAGGAAAGGGTTTAATGTCCAAAGGCAGTCGGTTCGAAATCGCTTGCAGGATGAAGTTCTATTTATTTCGCAAAAAATAGATGAGAAAACAATTGTGAAGACTTAGTTCAGCCCATTGATTTTGTTTTGGTAAAATCGTTCCTCTAGAGGCTTTGACATTATAACCGCCACATCAAATCGTTAACGTGAATTATTATCCGCCTAATTATGGAGCTTCTACTTTCTCTCATTCAGCTATTTGAATATCTGAAATTGTTGTTAAATAGTCTCAACTCCATGCATGCCCAAATATGTCGGGTCTAGATTAAGGGTGATTTACTTTAGATGCATTGATGACCATAGTATTGTAGATATAATTCTCAAGGTGACCGTATGCACACTGTCAACAGAGGCGATGCGGTTAGGTGAGTAGGTCTTATCAAGAACGGAGAGTGAAAAAGTCGCAAACTTGCTGCAGTGGCCGCAGTTCTGCTTCTCGCCGTCAACCTGCCTCGCCGGGCACCACAATGTAATCGGTGGGGAAAAGGAAAAACTCACAAATCAAGCGTGTTAAAGGTCAAGGCTCAATGCTGCCGAGGTGGCGATAGACGGCCATGTAATCGGTCCCTTTTGAACAGGCAGCTGAGTAGAGAATTTTGGCCGTTAAGCTTGAGATACTTCCCTAACAGGGGATTTATGACTTGGGAGATGGAACTTAACATAGTTCTAGTGAGCGGACATATGCACCTGCGGCCTTATTAAACCAAGTTTTAACCTAGTTATGCCGAAGGGAAGAAAGCGTTGTGACTTTATTCGCTCAAAACCTTTACAATGGTAGTGGTAAATACGCCACGTAACAAAACTCATGACATGGTTAATGATCAGCAAGACTTTAGTTTTCCAAAATCGTTTTTGCATCAAAGGGGGCTAGCTCATTTCCCACGGTTAAAATTTATTTTTATTCCTACTGATACGAATTGCCACTAGCATCAAATCAGTAGCATACATAACGTTTCAGTCCAGCCGAACTTTATCACAAATCAGTAGTTATCATGATACTGGCTGTTTATTATAGGCTCCATTCTTCATTTTCTCCAAAAAATATAGCGTCCCGAGGTCATGAGTTGAGATGAATACACGTAGTCTAGAGGGAGAAAAAGAGATTAAGCGTGCGACGGCAAGACGAAGTCCAAAGTAAGCGCCAGACATTGGGTGATCAGGTAAACAAAGTATTTCAAATAGCTCCTCGAGATTACTCCTAGGAAGTACGGAGGCATTGTGCTCGAACAGAAATAATCGATGCTACTATTACAATTTAAATAGTTGGGCACGCGATGAAGAGTTAATGACACTAAGGACTGGGTGGCTTTAGTCAAAGTTATTAGCCCAAAATAGTATTCAAATGGTAACGCATATACGGTGTGTCTAATTTTTTGTTAGGATATTAGATATCCCTATGATGTGTGTCTTAGCAAATGACATCCGCTGACCAACTTCAATGCCCTTGAGTTTTCCGTACAGTTGAGGCAATCTAGTCGTAAGGTCGTAAAGTTACTCAATTTCAATGTAGGTCTATTTTAGGCACTCTGAATATGCTTTACTTATAATCACTATCCGGACAGATGTCCTGGGAAGACCTTGGCGTAATATATTGGGGCTTTATTCGGCTTTTCATTTTGGATAAGTTCCTCGTTTGATCGCTATGCGTCCCTTCTGTGCGTTAAATCAGGACATGCCGCCTAGACATTATGCCATCTTCTTTCTTCTCCGAATAAGTTCTTTGGCTCTACATTAAAAATGCTGGGTGCCAACATGTTCGCCCTTGCTTGTATTGGCATCCTCCAAAGAGTATCTCCTCGTTCAATTTTTTTCCAGTTTTACATACTTTCTTCCTCCTCCTTCTCGACCCTCGTACGTATCCACTGGACTCTTTATTGCAATGAAGGTGTTTGCTTCTAGCTATGAATAAGTAAAAGCTATGTAGTTTCTTCAATTTTTAATTCTTATTTGTGCTCTAAGCAGGTACCAAATTGTCCCCGATACTGCGGCACATCAACGTTCCTCTGATATCCCTCGACGACTGCAGAGACATATTCGCACCACTAACCCTCTGGAATCCGAAGTTCCAAATTCACACCTCATTCATTTGTGCTGGCAACTCGGAGTCAATGGACGCTTGTCAGGTATTTTGTGCAGCCGAGATGAAGTCTTTTCTTTAATTTTGTTCTTCATGTTCGTACTGTACGAATTCGGATAATGTGGGTCTGTAACACACTTTCAACATTGAAATGTGTGCGACGACTTCCGTATTACGGTCGATTTTGTAAAAGAGTACCCACGAGTCATCTGCCTGTAAACCATCATGCAATGAGGGACTGTATTTGATATAAGCCTCTGGGCTGAGGATTTGTGCTCGTTCCCTTCGCTGCCTTTTCCCGTTTCAGTGCCACTCACCAATATCAACCCACATTTCATCCGTCTAGTAAGGAAGGTGGTATCACACGTTCCATCAGGGGCTTTAAGATGGTCTACAGTCACTATTATTTTAGCAGTTTTTTCAAAGACTATGGACTTGGGATAGATACTGAAGGTAGTAGTCATTTTCGAATATGCATTGCTGCCGCATTAAGGGCTGGAGTTCACTTGCTCGCTTTGGACTTCACATCGCCTGACCAATGCACAATGGCAGAGCTTTTGTTGATCCTTAACACAATCAGGCAACAGAAAAGGATTAATATGTTAAAGTAAACACATTTGCTGATACGTTTACCAATTCCCGGTTTTTCACTTTACTGCAAGGTTGATTTTATTAATTCTGGGCTTTTATAATAGGCTCCGCTGTATCAATTTATTTGCATCAAATTGCTATGGACACTGCTCTTGGTTTATGTAACTTCTGACACTTTTGAATGAGAACTGCTTTCAAGAATAAGCCTTTTTAATTTTCTCAAGTCCAACAAAAGCCACTGTGGGAGGTATAAACAAGATTTTGCTACGGCGAGGCATCAATGTTGACTTGGCTAGGGGAAGGAGAGGAAGTCGAAAGAAGCTTTTACCAAATATAAGAAACATGAGGACAATTTGTTGAACAGTCCTTGCCTTAAGAATGTCTATGCTTCTGCAGTATGACTCTGGTGGTCCGATGATGTGCAAGTCGGGAGTGGATGGTCAGTACATTGTGGTGGGTATCATCTCCTTCGGCATAAAGTGCGCCTCCGGCTATCCTGGTATCTACACCCGTGTGACCTCCTTTTTGGATTGGATTCACGACACCACAAGTCTCTAGCTGGTCTCAATACTTGTCTGATCTTGTTGACTGACTGATGACTTCTAGCATCTCAATGTGTTCTATCATTCATTTCTATAAATGCGCACACTCACCAGGTCTTCTTTTCGGTTACAGAGAAGGGGAAGACGAGCTACAACAAAACTGTCCGTCAAATACACGTGTCAAGTCCAAAGAACAGTTTTTGGCACCATTGGTGGTCACAGCTCTGGGTCATTTGAGCGTAGCAGTGAATAGCTTTTAAGTGCATTTAAGTGCTTTGCATTTAGCAGTATTAGTTCTTCTCCCAGGTATCCAGGCTTTTCTTGTTCCCTCCTCTGTAAGCGAGCTCCTTTGTAAGAAATCGTTTACTGAGTGGCATTTGAACTTAAACAGTATACTATCGTACTTTAACTTAGCGATACAGAAGTTGTCACATTTCCGTAGTACTTGGTATTCATAAAACGACTCACAAGCAGAAGACCATTGAAGAATACACTGAGCCATTGGTGGGAGATTTCTGTTGTGTGAAGTTAAAATGTGTTAAAGTTGATTTCCGGAGTACAGGAGAGATCTCTCTACCATCACCAATAACAGGCAGCCATAGTTATCTGTATTGTGATTAGTAACTAATGGTCATAAGCGGGATTGCGAAATGATTTAGCAAACCACTTCGTCCAGCACACTAGATGTCAAGAGTTCTTACTCTCGTGCTGCATTCAATAAGTAGGTTGGTAGATAGGGCTGCGTGCATCGAGACTGAAAGTGTGCAAGAATGGGGTACGCCAAGAGGTCAAGAGGATGATTAAAAGCGTGTAAGTAAGGTGCTCGAATGGGGAACGACTCTTCATCAAAGGGTGAATACAAGCTCAGCTGAGCCGCTACTGGATCCCTTATGATATTTCTGAGAGGATGAAGCGGTTTAAAGTGATTGCTAGCCCAAGACCTGTCTGGACGTCGTAGACTGATAGAGAATAGAAAGAAGTTGAATGTCAACAGCTGGGAGAGTTCTGGGACTATGCAAGTGGTTTGATCAGAGTAGCGATGGTCGGCGTAGGACCGACCTTAGCCAATATCCACCGTAATGGATGTTGATAGGACATTTGTAAACGGTCATTGCTACACTCTAACAAGTTAACTTCGGATAAACAGAAGATCTTCCTTAGAATGTTTTCCATTTTAAAGTATAATTGTATGATAAATTAGAACCATAGTTAAGGCATTATGATTGTGGATTTTATCTACAATAAAAAGATTAGAGGTATGAAGGCGTAGTGGTCTAAAAGACGGAGTTGAAGCAACTGGCATGAGGTGGGACAATACTTTCAACCACGTGGACTTCAAGCGAAACCGAGACCTAAAGTATCAACAAAATTTTGATACAACACCCGGAAAATTTGGCCTCAACCTTACCTATCCAACAATGCGTGTTTGTCAGGGTCAAGATTGCCGCAGAGATTCAATGCAGGATTGAAGGAAAGAAGCTTCATGCTACAATGTACACATAAAGTGATTATATAAAGCAATTTTGATTTGCCACCACCAGCACGAACCCAGTTAATTAGGCATTCAATGCTCCCAATATTACCAATTATGTATGTATCATAATAATATGAATTGATAACCGCTAGACGTTGACGGTAGCTCTTCAGCCATCGTCTCGGGTGTTAGCGCAGTTCCTGGTCTATAGCAGAGATTTCCTACC